CGCGTTTTTTAGTGACGCCCCCGTCGCGACCCACTTCCTTCCTTCCCCCAGCGTGACCCTTCCCCTTCCTCTTCCCCTTCCCCTGCCCACGCTCCCTCCACAAAACGCGTCGCGCGTGCCACGCCGGTTTTAATCCTCTTGGACCAGGCCGTGATCAGGAAGGCCACCCCGCCCCGCGAGCTGCGCGCACTGCGCGCACAACCCCGGACCAGCTCAGCGGGGTTGATTCAAACGCACCGCGTAAAAATCAAAAGCAGTTTTCGAAACGAGTAACAGCGCCCCCTGAACGCCGAATCTCGGACAGAGCGGAGTTGCACCTGGAAGCTGTTTGACTTTACGAACGCAGCCGGGTTCCAGCCCACGAAGAACGCGGAGTCAAAAGGCGATGACCTCAAAATTATTATTGCGTGCACAAGAGCCTGTCCAATTTCCCCTCAAAATGACACATGTTGTTATTACTTTAACTTGGTCCTGGTTTTGAGTGCCGGTCCCGGTTTTCCTCCAAACGGCCCGGGACAGAAATATTATTGTCCGTTTCATCCATGCCCGAACGATATCGGAGGTCACGTGGGACGTTGCATCTGCTGGCCTCAACGGCAAGCAGTGCACCATATCCCGGCGTCCTGTCAACGTCAAGCCGACTGCAGCAGCAGCAGTTTGTAGTTGCGGTGGCTGGCTGGGCTGGCTGCGGCGGCGGGGGGCGGGGAGGGGAGGGGGAGGCCGGCATGGGGGTGGCTGGAGGGGAGCGAGAAAGGCTGCAAAGGGGGTGGCTCTTCTTTAGTTTCGTTTTTTCTCGACCCGCTGGCCGCGGCTGTAATATGTTTGGGCTGCTGGCGGCGCGGCGGCGCGGCGGCGCGGCGTCGCGTGGCTGGCGGCGCGTCCTTTGGGGTGGTGGGGCAGGCCAGGGTGCAGGCCAGGGTGCTGCCGTGCTGCCGGGGAGGCTGGGGTGCAGGTGGGGTGAGGTGGGGTGGGGTGCCGGCCGGGGCGGGTCGCTATGCGTCGCGCACACAAACAAGGGAATGAAAAACATTCAAATTTCTATCCGGCAACTACGAACGATATCGGAAATCGAGGTAGCGACCACCAATCCCCAACAGTGCGCTATTCCACCGTCTGTATCTCTCCTGTGGTCGGCGGGTCGCTGCGAGCCGGCCCGAGCTCTCGGTGTGGACGGCGGCTTTGTGTTCCAGAGTGGATGCCGCGGTTGCAAAAAGCGCTGCGGCCGGCGCCAAGTGGACAGCCATGGACAGCGGTGTGTGCAGGTCCGCAAATGAGTGATCATCTGACAGAACAGCGCATCTTCATTGGGAATCCCACGGTAGATACGTTGTTATGAACGACTGCCACACAAATATACCCTCGGCCGCATTCGGTCCGTTCGGTGCATGCCATGCAGCGTAGGCGCCCGCTCAACCCGGCCATGCAGGCCGCGCAGGCCGTGCCGCACTCGGTGCAGCAGTGGTGCAGCAGGCGCCCGGGGCAACATTATTCGCTAGTTAAATACGACAGAGGGGATGGGCGTGATGCGACCGGAGGGAAACCGGAGGGAAGGGGGAGGACGGGAGAGGAAGTGGAGGGGGTGGCTTTTTACTCGCCAGTCTTGTTTTGTGCGGATCAAGTGCATGCGCGGCGCGCGGGGGTCGTGCGTGAGTGTGCGTGTGTGTGTGTGTGACTGAGTGTATTCGCGTGTCCTTGTGTGCCGGGGGACTGCTAGGTTGGACCGACCGCCGTGCGGCGAAGGGGTGGGCGAAGGGGCAAGGGGTGAGGCCGGGGAGGGGAGTGCCGCAGGAACAGAGGCTGCCGATCGAGGTTGACGAGGAGAGCACATGTGGTTCGCCGTTCGCTGTTCTGTATTTAGCGGTCCAGATCGGGATGCAATCGGTGATACGCGTTCAGGAGCACGGCGCCATGCACGGATAGTGGACCGTCACTCCGCGTCACTCACCGGCCGCGGACGCATCCGTGCACCACTGGAAATAGCTTGCACGGTATGACAACAATATCCACTCGACGCAGTCAGCTTGCTCTCCACAATATCCTGGTACTCTACTACGTGTCTGAATGACGGTGTGGACCGAGCCGCGCATATCGCACTGCAGTGGCACAGCAACCATCCGGCGTACAGTACTCCCTCTCGCTCGCACTGCGTAAATTTACGGTCGGCGTCCGCAGCCCCGATTACATGTCGTGGATGCAAAACAGGAGGAGAGTAGAGGTCGAAGCGCGAGGGGTGTGTGGTGGGGGAGGGGGAGGGGAGGGGAGCGCGCGGCGGTTTTTCCTCGTCCCGAAGGGGTTGGCATGGGGGTCTCCTTTGAATGCCGCCCCGCATTCAGCCTCCTCTTTGCTGCCTCCCGTTCTGGCCCCTTTTTTTCCGCCCTCCTCTCTTGTCGGCACTTGTTGTCCGGGGTCATGCAGCCTCGCACAGGTGTCCGCGTCCCGTGCGAATCGCGTGGGCGTGTCCTGCGGCGTGCCCACGGCCACGGCGTGCCCACTGCGAGCCCACGGCGTGCAAAGGCGGCGTGCTGCAACCTTTCTTCTTTTCCTCCACCGGCGGGCTAATTACCCCGATGCAGGCCGTCTAGGCCGTCCCTAGACACCGCGAGCGTCGTCGTCGCCGTCGTCGCCGCGCACCCCCGGCCTTTGTCGCCGACCTCCGCGTCCCGGCCGCTTTGTTTCAATCGGTGGCGGTGGCGTGAGAATCGAGTGATACTAACGACCGCTTTGTGCGCCGCGGTGCTACCCGTCCTGCACCGTCCCGTACCCGCGGCGGCGAGCTACGCGCAACGCGCAGCCCGGCGCAGCCCATCCCCTTTCAGCGCGATGCAAATCCGGGAACTGGTTGGGCGGCGACTGGGGCGCGCCGCGCCTAGAGCCGCGCCGTGCCAGAGACTCGCAGGGACTCGCAGCGACGCAGCTGCGGACGTTGAGCAACCCTCTCGCACACACGCATCTATTGCTCGCATCGGACGAGACCGGCGAGACTGTGCGACCGTGTCGCGGTGACACGCCTAGCCGCCGAGCCGCCGCCACGCAGGACGCGTGTGAAACTCCCACGCACCATCTTCGCGGCTTGCCCGGCTTGCCTGCTCGGTGGCTGGGCGGCCAAGGTGGTCATGCACCGCGCATAACTTGTGCACGAGGCGTTGCTAAACGGTGTAGTGCCGCCGTGTCTGTGCGGCTTGTAGCAGCGCGATGACGTCCCCACCCTGGGGAGCACGGCGTGCAGGGTTCTGCCAACACGAGTAGTCACGTCCAGTCACAAAGCGACTGTTTGAGGACATTTTGCCTTTGGGCCCCTCGGCCACTGCATCGCAAAGCTCGAGTGCCGAGTGTGCCGATCGGGCGGGTCGGTCGGCTCGTCCCCGGAGTCGACGGGCTGCTGCTGTGCTGGCGTGCAAGCCCGCGCGCTCCGCTACCGACGCCTCTCTTTTTCCCTCTTCGGCTTTTTTGGCGAGGCATTCCGGGAATTAACAGGGTCAGCACAATGCAGAGGGAAGAGAATCTCCACACACGCACACACAAACACGAGGGGGGACAGACAGAGTATTAATTCCGATGAAAACCCGGCAGAGATATTATATGATGACGAGGGTGCTTTTAGATCACAGAGGAAGCACAAAAGGTTCGTTTCCGAGACGACGGCGGGGCTCGGCGGGGTCCGCCCCCCACCGCCCCCTGCACGCTGCGCGACCTGCATCGGGGCCTACGACTCGAACACCTCGAACGCCCGGGGCCCTTCATTCAGCATGACGTATTTGACTTGTTTGCCTGAATGTTGGCATACTTGACTGCGCTGCTCTCACACGCACACACACACAGGCGCGCGCGCACACGCAGACACACACATACATGAAGGGAGAGACATCGACAGACAGACAGACAGACATCGAGACAGACAGACAGACAGACAGACAGACAGACAGACAGACAGACAGACAGACAGACGGACGGACGGGCGGACGGGCGGACGGACGGACGGACAGAGAAGCGACCAGAGAGGACTGGACAGGGTTTCAAGTTTGACCCTCCGGTCCCTGCAGGCCTCTTTCCAGGAAGTGTGACAGGAGGGGGGCGTGCGACGTCGAGAGTGGACGTGGATTCGGATGCCCCGCCCCGCCCTGTCCGGCCTTTATCTGACTCTTGATCGGGCCGAGCCGATGGAGTGCGCGCTAAAAGCGGAATGTCACGTAGCGCAGCTGCGAAATCATTAACGACTGCGACGACTGCGCTGCGACGAACGTACTCGTCGCGAAAGGGTCACCATTTTCTGCCTACCAGTGCCAAACGAGAGACCGTCTCTGTTTTAATGATGGACCGATCGAAGTAGTAGTAATAGATTTGCCGTACATGTTGTCCAACCGTTATCTCTCGGGCGAGGAGTAGGCGGGTCTAAGACAGGACAGGCAGGTCCAAATGAACACCTTATAATGTTGTTACGAAGTGGACTCGCGGGACTTGGATGGCCGTGCCCTTGTCAGGCTGGCAGTGCGCGAAGCGTATTGTCTCCGCGTCGACGTGGACGCCAGCCGCCCGATCGAAGGCGCGGCCGCAGCTTGCAGTTCGCAGTTCCGAATTACTCGGCGCTTGAATCTGATAGGGAGGCCGACGCGCCGCAGCGCCACACCGTCTGCGGCCTTTCGGCCTTGCGATTCTGATCGGCTCATCGAGGGCCTCCTGGCACCTGGACGGTCCCGGACGGTCGTGGGCGGGTGGACGACGGCCTCCCCGCCGGGCTCGCGCTTTGTTCTGCTGTCCGCCCTGTCCGTCACGGCCTCGGTCACGGCGCCGAGCGCGGGACCACCGCCCGGACGGCCCGGACGCGGACATGGGGTGCACTAGTCTCGACTAGTCGGCAGGTGCGCTGCCGCGGGGAGGTCTGGTCGACGTCCTGGCGCTGCGCTGCGCTGTTTGCGCTATGGGGACGCGGGGCTGCCTGGCGCTGCTCGTGACGATGGCGGCGTCCTCGACGGCCCTCTTCGTCGCGACCCCGGGGGCGGGGATGCTGCCGCCCCCGGAGCTGTGCGTGGACGCGAGCTTCCTCCTGGACGCGATGCTGGCCGAGGTGCCGGACGCGGGAATGAATCTCCGGCGCGTGCACCTGTCCTACTCGCGGCGCCACGACGTGCTGTGTCCGCGGGCCGCCGCGAGCCTCCAGCACAACCAGTCCTTCTCCCTGCGGATAGACGCCGTGCAGGACAACACCTTCACCGGGCAGCAGGTCCGCACCGCGTCCTCCACGTAGTAAAGCATTAGACATGGATGTTCGAACCCCGAACTTGGTGGCAGGCGTCGGTGCACCCAGTGGACGTGGTCGTGCTGCTTCTGGGCTCAACCGGAAAGGACCTGGTCGCCGAGGTGTGGTGGCAGGTCAACAAGGTCCTGCCGCACTTTGACCGCTCCACGCCCCTGCTAGCTGTCGTGGTGGCGGGACGCTTCTCTGATGCGGTGATCGTGCGAAACGAGCTCAGAGTGCGCCAGTGGTGGCGGGTGGCCATCGCCCTGCAGAGTCACAACGCCGCGGATGAGGTGGGTGAGGTGGGTCGGGTTGAGGTGGGCGAGGTGGGCGGAGAGGGCGAGGCGGGCGAGGTGGGCGAGGTGGTTGCGGTGGTAACAGGCCCTCCGAACTGTTCTACTTCTTTATCTGGGCTTGTTGCTGCCAGGCACCGCCACGCCGCATAGTCCGTATCTTCACGTCGCGGCCCTTGTTCGAGCCAGGCGTTCGCTGCGGCGAGAATTGGAGTCCCCTGGCGCTGCAAGCGCACTGGGGGCCTGGCACCGGCAGCATGCGGATCTTCAACAAGACCGCCAACGCCACGCTCTTCACTGGCTTGCCCCGTGCGGACGACCTGAAGGGCTGCACGGTCAAAGTAGCCCCCATGGAGAACGCGCCCTACGTGTAAGTACTACATACTGCATGACGGCGCAGGCCCAACCCGACACGATACGCATAAGGACACAAAAGAAGAGGGTACACTCAAGATTTCCACCCCCGTCAAGGTCGGATTTATGGCAAAATCAGCCATTTTCTGTCAGATTTTTTTGTGCCACATTCCAGGATGAACCCCGACAACGGCCTGAGCGGCGTAGACGTGAGCCTCGTGCAGTACTTCGCGAAGACGAAGAACGTCACCCTGGAGATGCTGCCTGCGCACCGCCTTGACGAAATCACCAATCACATCAACGCCGGCGATAAGGTAGAGGAGAGGCAGTGTCCCCAACCAGCCGAGCCAGTCTGGCATTGTCTCAGTGTCACTTGACCTCTTCCAGCGTCAAAACTTGAGCAACGTGGACCCGCTCGACCTGCTGGGGCTGGGTCACGCGGACCTGGTCATCGGCGGCGTGCTCCCTACGGCGCAGCGCTACTACTCCTTCCAGTTGAGCGGCGTCTACACCTCGGACGCCTTGCGCCTCTACCTGGTGCGCGAGTACCAAGTCCCCCGTTGGCAGTACCCCTTCGCCGTGCTGTCCGCCAAGACCTGGGCCCTCCTGGCCGGCACCATGCTGTGCGTTGGTAGGTCCTGGTGGTCCTGGTGGCGGGGGCCACCGCGAGGGTCACCCTCTGGCGGAGGGCGACTGACGACGCCGCTGCGCTGCCTTGGCGCTGCCCGCAGGGGCCATGCTGACGTGGCTGAACCGGCAGGGCGCGGCCGCCAACGCCATGCTGCTGTGGGGCGTGTTCCTGGAGGGTCGCTCCTTCCCGCGCTGGATGTCTCCGCGCACCACGCTGCTCGTCTTCCTCTGGGTCGTCTTCTCGTTGCATTTCACGGCGGGCTACCGCGCCACCCTCGCCATGGCCAACTTGGGCACCATCACGAGGAAGAGCGCATCCACTATCGAGGACCTGAATGTAGGAACGCAAGCCCACGACGCATGGCGGTTTGCCTGTTTGCCTGCCGGCTTGGCACCCTTTGCTTTGCTTTGCTTCCAGGGGCGGGTGCGGCGCGTGGGCATGATTGACGAGATGATGCTGCCCTTCCTGAAGCAGGACGGCCTGCTCGCGCCGCTCCTGGACCGCGTGGTCGTGTGCCGTACCATGCAGAACTGCTCGCGCCTTCTCCGCCAGTCCCCGGACGACGTGGCGCTCATCATGGGCGAGCAGAACATGTGGTACCTGTCGTCCCGCTTCTTCGCCGACAACCGCGGCCGGTCGATACTGCAGCCGCTGCGCGGCGCCCTGCTCTCCTACCACGTCACCACCTTGGTGGCGAAGGGCTCCCCCATCCTGCCCGCCCTCAACGACGCCATTGCGCACACGCAGGACGGCGGCCTGGTCCCGAGGTGGTTCCGTCTCCTCCAAACCAATATCAACCTCTATGTAAGTTTCTTGGCTTCACACGCGGTACCACTCCGGCTGTATGGCCTCTAAAGCTCCTTGTGCCCTACAGATAGAATACAGCATACGACGCGCCAGCAACCCCAACGGCAGTAACGCCCCACAGCTTAACATGCGCCGCATCGTGGGCCCCTTCGCGTGCCTGTTCGCGGGGCTGGCGGTGGCCACAGCGGTGTTCCTCGGGGAGCTGCTGTGCTACGGCGGCCAGAAGATGGTGGGCCTGGACCCCGACGAGCCGGCCGACGACGTGGACTCTCCGCCGAGGGACGTGTCGGTGGACGCGCCCCTCCAGGCCATCAAGGCCGAGGTGGAGGCGGAGGAGGCGGCCGAGGAGGCGCACGCGTGTGTGCAGGGCGCTCTGGGCCAGGTCACCACCCTGCTCGTCGAGGGCACTGTCATGCTGGCCGAGGGCGCGGGTCGCTACGAGCGAGTCACCCGCCTGGAGACAGAGGTCATGGCCGCCTTGACCGCGCCTGGGCCTGACGCAGAGCCTGCCACTGACGGCGTCCACGACGGCGTGCCTGTGGATCTGCTGGCCTCGGTAGCCACGATGACCACGACGGGCCCCGTCTCCCTCCCCGAGCAGGAGGTCCAACTCGCTGGGCACCACCTTGTCTCAGTGTAATCAGGGGGTCCCCTCGGGAGCCCCCCCCCCCCCCCCCCGCATTGCCCCTAACGGGGCTCTGCAACACCTGAGGCGCCGGACGAGCGGTCTGTGAGTACGCACCCCTCGGCTGCTGCGACGAGGGTACTGTATGGCGCGGGCAGTAGATTGGGTGGGTTAAAACCCTGACTGTACCACAAGGTTGACAGTCAACCCAGTCATCCGGGCGCAGCGGAGTGTGGGTCTTCGGAGCCGCACTCTGCGGACTAAGGGCCCCCTGTGTTGCCCATCAACCTCACTAAGTAACAGTGAGAGGCTCATGCTTGACATGCTGAGCGTCCAACCTTAAACCTTAAACCAAGTTTCTGGTCCGAATCCGGACTTTTCCAACGCCTTTCGCTTTGTTGCCTTTATAATACCTTAGGCTGGGGGTCCATCGCCAGCAAGCCCCGAGCCGGACAGGCCCGGTGACGACAGGCCGGGCAGCGCTCAGCATCCCTTCCTTGAACGCACTCCAAAGGCCGACCGATGAGCAGAAAAGACGATATAAACTCGAGCTAGGCGCTGCTACGCACGGCTACGCACGCACTAACCAAATTTTGCAAGCGGCTAGAAACGCATCCGTTTGGAAAACGTTCCGCTCGGCCTGCACTGCACAGCGACAAAACAGCCAAAGCTGGCAAAGCGCTTTCCCCAAAGGCCAGAACGGTCTGCACTACGTTTTTATTTGCACCCTTCCTAGGTTGCATTTTACTTTGACGGGCAAGTTGGAGCCGTTGGGGCGAGGGAACGTCGCACAGTTGGTACAGTTTCTCTATCATTATTTTGAAATTTGGCACTAGAACAATAGAGTCACGTCCCTTCACCAGTGGCAACTGCTTCGCGGATTGATTTATTTTCTTCTCCTGGGATAAAAATTGATTGTATACGTATTTGTTACGATTAATTTAACGTGTTCCTACTTATATTTTGATCTTTTCTTATCAATAAAAGGAACAAATTCGCCGAAAGACGCAGAAAAAAACTACTCACAACCGCACCGCAGAAACGGAAAGAGAGAAAAGTGGTGGAAATTCGATGACGCTCTGGCGTCGTCTTTCTGCACTCCGTCCCTTTGTGCTGGGCGTGCTGGGGCTTGCCGAGCCTGACCTGGCGCCGCGCCGCGCTCCAAACGTCCTGAATACTAGTCATTGTGGGGCCGTTCTGCGCAGAGCTTTACAAAGAAAAAACGGCCCGATATGCGCGCGTCATCACAGCTAATGTAAAAAATGAAATGGGAGCACAAAACGTACAAGTGAGTGTGTTTGGATTGTGTCTGAGTGTGCCCGCGTATGTTCGCTGTGGTTTTTGTCCGGCGGACAAGCGTGCCGATGCTGTGGACACTGCCCTGCGGTGAAATCGCATTTGCATCCCGGGGTTGGGGTGGTGGGGGCGGTTCGGGTTGCGTCGAGTGCTCCACGTGCCTCAACAGAATTCCAACGCAGGTCTGCTCGCTCTCGCCTCATCAAATTTTCTTTCGCCAACAGAGAGAATCGAACAGTGGAATGTACTCTTTTCCCCTTTTGGCAGAGCGGCAGGGCATTCAATCCCACAGATTCCTGGAACGTGCTTCTGCTACGCCCACGCACCGTGTCACGCGCCGTTGTCGACCACCGCGTGGTTACTGCACGCTGGTGAGAGGAAGAATTAGCGCGTGTGTATCGGCAACCGCGTTTCATTCGAGTCCCATGAGAGGGCCTATGTAGGCCGGAACGCCGCTGCGACCGGACAAACTTTAGCCTCTTTTTCTTGAACCGATGTTCTGGCGTGCACGGTGCATGGTGGGGCGGCGCGGCGACGCCCCCTGACCCTACCTAACAGGAATAACAGGACAGCGACTCGAAATGAAAATCCCCAACCTTGGCTATCTGCCGGTCCCATCTCTGCGTCGCGGCGCGGAGCCCCAATGGCTGCCGAAAGTGCGTCGTGATTTCCTCATTAGCTGGCGGTTCATCCCCGCCGTGCGCCGCCGTGCGCCGCCACGCCCCGCCACGCCGCGGCGGTGCGATAAGGCCAACGCCACCGCTAGGGCTCCAAGGGCGAGGACGGCCTTCGTCACGTTGACGGCGACCCTTATCCAACAACTGCCGGTCGTCATTAAACCGAATCCATCTCTCATTCTCATCCCTTTCCTCGATTTGCATTCTCCCTTGAACTCGAACGGTGGTCGGTGCGGGTCGCTGGCGGTACCGGCGGCGGGGCGGCCAGGTAGCGGAGAACTGCCGGGGCACTGCCGGGGCTGCGGCGGGCGGTAGAGCCACAGGGGGCGGCCACGTCCTGCGGTCCCTCAAACTGCACGGCCCACAGGTGAAACGCGGGACGCGGGGCGGGGCGGGGGCGGCGGGGCGGTCGGGGTCTGTGGTTCTTTACCTTATCGGGCCCCATCAGTGGAGGGCATCAATCATACGAGACGGGGAGGACCGCCGCCTTTCGTCGAGTCCGACACGGTTGCAGCCTGCACGACGTCGCCGCCGCCCCGCCGCGTCGCCCAGGGCGCCCGTCGGTCAGGCTGGTGACTGGTTTCCCTACCCGCTCGAGCCCAGCGTCGCGTCACCAGTCAACCTTCGCGGGGGTCCTGAAGAGCGACGCGCACTGAGCGGAGAGTAAGCGGGACGCCGCCGCCCGGGCCGCCACACAGCGGCTCTATTTGAGTCGCGCGGCATGAGCGAGTGCTGCCCTCCATCACCACGCCCTCCCTGCGCCCTCCCTGGCGCTGGCGGCATGCTTGGCGGGCCTCGGGGTTTAGGGAAATTTGAAGCTGCCGAAAGACGGCGCCACGACCAGCAGCCGGTCCGGGCGGTCCGTGCCTCGCGGCAGTCCTCGGCGGCCACGTCGCGGGGCGGGCCGCGGGCCGCAGCCGTGTGTCGGTCGGAAATAGGAGAAGGACGCGCCCTGTGCGCTGTGCTCGCTGTGCTCTGGGCGCGACGCGGCTAAATCGGATGTTGTTGCCGCCCCCGGGCCCAGCCAGGCCCTGCCAGGCCATGCCAACGCGGCGCGCGACGATGCCTCCCTCGAGGGGAGTTGATGAGCGAGCGAGGCACGGCGCGCGGAAGGCGGTTAGCGTTAGCTGCGCCGGATTGCCCTAGCGAGGTTAGAACAGCGTAATCAGGCCGGGAGATGGGATATGGTGCGGAGGGGCTGGGCTGGAAGGGCTGGGCTGGAGGGGCGGGGCGGTCGGGGGCACGTCGGCGGCGCACGCGGGCTCGCCGCGGCCGAGATGGAACTTCCGGTCAGCCGGGGTGGTCCGTTCCGGCGTTCCTCCTCCGGCCCGGATGCGACGGCCAGGCGGCCAGCGAGAACGAAGTCAACTTCAAAACCTATTTCCGGCTCAGGAACAAGGCGCCATGGGGACGCGACGCGCACCCTGCACCGCCACGGCGAAGGCCCACGCAATCCTGCGGAGTCGCAAGCTGCCCGCCCCCACCGCGAGGCCACGTTAGTTGGTCCCCGATGCCTCTTTAATGAGATCCGCGGAGCTTATGGACTGGGAAAGTCGGAGAAATCGGATCAGCCACCTGTTCGGCCCTTCGGTCACACCCCCAACGGGGTGAGTCACATCCCCACGGCGAGGACGTGTCGCGCCGTGTCGCGTCGCGCCGTGGAGAAGGAGAAGCCCCTCACCCGCCAGCGCGCCGCGCTAAACTCTCCAAATTGGACATCCTCTGCTAGCCTGCCCCTGGCCTCGTGCAGCAGCAGAGCAGCAGGGCCTGGACGGCCTCGGCCCCGCCGCACCGCCCACATCAAGTACCGCGCGACCCACGACCCACGGCCACGCAGGGCTCGGCCCGGACAGCCAGGCCAGCCAGGCCAGGGCGAAGGGGGGCAAGTCGCAGATTGTCACTTCCTGTGCTGCACGCCGTACACTCACTGTGTCACAGTCAAGCGCTGGTGACGCGGCCCTGGAGTGCGTCAGGACGTCAGGACGTCAATTGGACAACCTCGCCAATTTCCCCCGTGATAAAGGGGGAGGCCACGCGGCCAGTCGGCCACGCTCACGGCCGATCGGCTGCAGGCCTGCAGGCCTTGTACCTTGCAGCTAGGTCAAAGCGTAAGATGCAGGCTGCAGTCTTCTGCTTGCCGTCCTCGCAACCCAGGCAAACTCCAAGGCAAAGGCACTAGCTTTAGGAGCTTGGATGTGAGCGTGAGGCGCTTTGGCCGCCGTTCGAGCATGCGAGCGTTCGAGCGTCAATAAGCCTCACACCCAACGAACCCCCTCAAAGCGGGAGCGAAAAAACCGATTCTGCGCTTAAAAATCCCTCTCTACTGTCGTGATGACGCCTTCACCAATTCCATGAAACGAACGTGTGTAGTTTCCTCTCCGTTCTAACATTGTTTTCTCTCGCTTTTTCAACAGATCGCCAACACATTCAATTAGAACAGGAAAAGTGACGAAATAAAATTATGGCTGAGCGCATGCTGCACGAACACGAGACAGTGAAAGCCACAGTGATTGAGAGACTGGTGAGCCAGGGTTTGAAAATCGAGTGCCCTGTTTGGGTTCAAGACGTAACGACGGCGTTCCAACGTGCTTCAGCTTCGTGCTTCAGCTGCTCGGACACAAACATCGTGAACGAGGTAGACAAGGCAGCCCGGGGTTTGGCCAGCCTTGGCAGCCGCGCTGCTGACGTCATGACGGCCGGATCCGGAAGAGGTCCTGCGCCGGAAATGACTCGGGGAGAAGGGGGAGGGGGTGGCCGGAACCGCGCCACCCCACTGGGCGGGGCTACGTGTGGTCAGTCCGGGTCAGTCTTTAGCGGGGCAGCGGCCGAGTCCACGCGAGAGGCGTGCAGGGGGTCCGGGGTGGCGTCGAGGCGGGCCTTGGGGAAGGCCGCGCCGCGGAGCGCCACCCCGCCGCGGAGCACTCGGGCGAACGAGCACCTCGCCGATAAGGCCGCGGCGAACGCGGCGGAGAAGGAGACGCCAGTAAAAAGGAAGCGAAGCGGGTAAGATCGGAAGAAGGCGAGGGTGGGAGGGCCGGAACCGGATACGGCCCCCAGCGCCGCGCCGCCCCGCGCCGCCCGCCTGCCTTCCGCAGCGGCGGCGTTTCCGGGGCGGGGGGTGGCCTGGGGGCGGCCAGGGGGCGGCACGGCCAGAAGCCCCCGTGGCGTTATCGTCGCGCACCCCGAATGTACGGCAGCGCATCCCGGTAACGAGACTGATAACAGGGCCTGCACCAGGAACTGCAGGACCGCGGTCGCGGCGTCGGGGCGTCGCGGCTCAGGTTGTCCAGTCCATGTCCAGGCCGAACTTGGCCGAACTTGCAGCTGAGCAAGTGGCACGGCGCGGCCAAGCTGCTGCCGTCCTGTGCTGCGCCCGGAAGTAAAGGGGGAGGGAGGCCCCGCGTCTACCCGCGTCCCTCCGCCCCGGCTCCGGGTGCTCGGGGCCGGCAGGGCTCCGCCTTCCGGCGGCGAAGCGGAAGTGACGCAGGGCACGCAGGGCCAGGGCGGGAGGGCCTGCGGGGCACGGCGGAGAGGGGAGGGCACTGCGAGGTATGCAGCGACAGTCCAAGGCTGAGGCGGTGACGGCGGTGACGACCGCCCAACTTCCACCCGACGCGACCACTTCAGCATCAACGAGATTTTTCTGCTACACCCTAACACCACATGCAGCCCGCACTCTGCACGCGGGGACGCCGACCGCGGCCTGTGTTGCCTGCCCTGCCTGTCCCTGAACGTGAACCTGGCGCCCCTCCCCCCTCCCCCTTCCACGGGCCAGGAGCCCGGACAGAGGCCCCGGACGGAACCGAGTCGGTGGGAGCGAGAAGCGAGACAGCGGCTGGCCGCGGGCCGAGGGAGCGGGACGGTCGCCACGGATACGACTTGAGATGGTGTTGGTGGGCACGCGAGTTGTCGAGTTGTCTTGTCTGTCGGCCTGTTCCGTGCCCGTCCGC